ATACCTTATATGAATGTTAAAGTTGGGGCTTTTAGTGTGCCCATCACCAGAACAGCAGTCATTGTATGCTATAGGTAAGTTTTTACCCCTCCCACCCTTCCCTCCTTGAGTTCCAATGGCCTTTCCATCTCTTTGTGCCCATGTGTGCCTATCGTCAGATACCCTTTTGAAATTTACTGTGAAAAGCTACACAGATAAACACAAAATGCAAGCAATTCAGTAAAAGAGTCAAAGAAAATGCTCAGTCTCAGATCTGAGGGGGATGGTGGAGAATTACAGGAGATAAGTTAGTAAAAAATAGAGTTTTCTCCTTGGTTGAATAGAAATCGGATGTTTTGGGAGAATGGAACTCTTGTACCTGATTCTGTGTAAGCTGACACAGGATATAAACAGTTAGTTCACATATTTAATTACATAGTTTACAGGGTGATGATTTGCTTTATTATTGCATTTCCTTCTTACAAATAAGCTAAAGCCCACATTAAACATTTTATATGAGGAAGAGTGTTTGTGTCCACAAAATGTGTAATAACTAGTGTATATTTTCTGCAAGAACAAAACACACAGATAAAACCCACTGTCATTATCATCACTAAAAACAGACAATAATAGCAACAGCTACATGAACTCACAGAACGATTTTGGCAATATTTGCTAAGTTCTTTTAAATTGTTTCTTTCCTTTGATTTGATTTGGGAATCTGTCCTAAGGACACAATGTATGTCCTTGGATATACATCACTGTGCATTTCTACATATAGTACATGAAGAAAAACCCTCTGCACACAGAGAGGCAGCACAGCCTAGTACAATCTCCGGAGTTGGAGAGGCTAGGTTCAACTCCTGACCCCACTACAGACTAAATGCATGATGTTGAGCACTCGCTTACTAAGTTCTGTGTTTCAGCTTTCTCATAGGAGAGATGGAGATAATCTTAGTGCTTCATAGGCTCTTCATGAGAGGTAATAAGTGTAAATCACTTCGGGTAGTGAATCTAATAAATATTAGCTGTTACTATCAATATGTTCATATTGAGGCTAATTAAAATAGGAAAAAATAGGAAGAGACCCAATGCTCCACAATAGGACATTGGTTGCATGAGCTCTGGGATATCTACTCAAGGGAAGAGTCACTAACTTTCATCACAGAATACACACGGTTTAGTACAGAAAATAATTCACAATAGAAGTCCATGTCATCTGGATTTCACTGTGAAATATACAAGATAGCCATTGGGTCACATTTAATATCACTGAAATTGGGACGTATCTTGTACTCAAGGGTGTGTGACAGGGTAGCAATGGGTAGTGTGTGATGCATCTTACATTTGATGCAGTCTGGTCAACAGAATAGTGGCCTCCCAAAGATGTCCATCTCCTAACCTCCTAACCTTCCAATGTTACCGCACATGGCAAAAGGAACTTTGTAGATGGGATTAAGTTAAAGATCCTGAGATGGAGAGAATATCCTGGATTATCCAGGGGCTGATGTAATCATAGAGGGCCTTACAGGAAGGAGGCAGGAAGGTCAAAGTTGGTAGTGGGAGATGTGAGGATGGAAACAGAGTTTGGACTGAAGGGAGAAGGGACCACGAGCCAAGGAATGCATGCAGCCTCAAGAAGCTGATATTGGCAAGGAAACAATTCTCCTCTGAAGCCTCCATAAGGAATAAGCCTGGCTGACACCTTGACTTTAGCTCAGTGAGACGGTGTTTGGATTTCAGAACTCAGAGCTTCAGACCTTACAAACTTCAGAGCTGGAAGATGTGTGTATTGTTTTAAGCAACTAGCTTTGTGGCAATTTGTAATAGTAGCAATAGAAAACTAACACAAAGTCTTTATTTGGGTGAAACGAGGTTCATTTTGACTTCTAGGTCCATGTTAGGCTCTCAGTGCTTTCTGAGTTATCACTTGACTGCATGAGAGGAAATTGATATAAAGCTATGGAATGAATGTAAAACAGAATAGTATACAGACATTAAAATGATGTCTACGAGCAGTTCATAATCAAATAGAAAAATGTTACTTTTTAAAAAAAGAATATCAATTTGTATTGCAGTGAAATTGCAATTGTCTTAAATGGGCAAACATCAAATTGTGCATATAAGAATTCCAGCAGAAAATAAATTAAAATACCAATGGTGATTGTTTCTGCATGCCAGGACTATTAATGACTCTCCTTTTTCTTCCCTTTACATTTCTGCATTGTCTCAATTTTTTCTATAATGAATGATATCATTTTCATAATGGAAAAAAAGCATATGAATTTCATTTTTAAAGTAGACAGGAGTATAATATAAAACATAAAAAAGCAATAGAAACAATATTCAATCCCTTCATTGAATTCAATCTCTTAATTCATGCACCAACAATTCTAATTTAATTAATAATTCAAAATCTTCCAATTCAGAGGTGTGACATGTCACACACTGTGTGGTCATCATGGATCTGTGGTTTGATTTTGTAAGCATTGGTCAGCTTTAGTGATAGCAAAGTTAGGATTTTACCTTCCAAAAATCATCTGTGTACCAGCCGCTGGGAGCTGCATGACCATGCAGGGTGTCAGACAGGTAGTGATTTAAACAGACACTGGCAATGGACTCAAAGGGAAGGAAAAAGACAGAGAGGAGAGAGCTGGGGAAGGGGAGCTTCTGAATGCTTCTGCTTCACATAAGTGTGAAAAGATGAAAGTTATTCCTAGAACTATGGCTCTTTGACCTTGGATAAGTTGTTCCATCCCTCTGAGCCCCTCTCTCCCTTTGTGTTATGAGGGGATAGGACTAAATTATCTCTAAGATTCCTTCTAGTTCTAATATTCTATAGATATGTGTGTGTGTGTGTGTGTGTGTGTGTGCACATGCAAACACCCCCCCACACACACACACACATGTGGCCATACAGGCTCTGATTATAAAACAATGAGACTGATTCAAATACGAATAGTCCCACTCTTTTGCAGTCTTGCTTTGTAGTCATACAGGGGCTGCTGGCAACTAACTTTATCTAGATCCTTCAAACTGTGCAGTTTGATGCTAATACCATCACTATCAGATATTTCACAGTATTTTGTTTTTTCATCATGTCAGAAAATGAACTGCACAGCGCATGAAAACGCTTAAACGTGAGGGGTTACGGCAGCAGCAGTGGCCTGATGTCTGGTTGCTCCCTGAGGCTTTCAGCTTGTCACTCGTCAGCTCTTTGAGGAATGCATTCATAACTTCGGGAAGGTTATCTTTCTTCCAAGAAAATCAAGCACATTAACAAAACTCGATAACAGTTTTCTAACTGAATGCAATGCCTGGCCATTTCCCAATTACTATGCTATTAAATTAAGATGCCATTTCTGGAATATATCTGGTAGGAAATTTCACTGGAGGTTTGAAATGTCCTAGGATAATTACTATGTATTTTTTTCTGGGAAATATTGGTAGAATACCTATTTTTTCTGAAAGAAATTTAAGTTGTTTAATCCAAATCTCAAGGAATTTACGAGTCTCGTAGGGCAGAATAAATTGTGCACGTATTTAACTCTAATGCAAAACAGAGAGGTAAATTCCAGAGAAAGTTATGGATGTATTACTACAGATAGAGTTTCAGAGAAGAAAGAGAGATTATTTTCAGCTGACTAGACAGGCAGATGGTGTAAGAAAGCTTATGGAGTGTATGGCATTGAAGGCTATTAGGCTCCTGCATTCAAAAACTGAGGTGGGAGGGGAGGACATTCTTGGTGGAGAAAATAGAATGAGCAATGTCTTTGTGGCATGGAGAATTGGGGGTTCATAATGGAGAAGAGTAGAGAGTGAAATTTGACAATATTGCCAACTCCAGATTGAGGAAACACAGATAAGATCTAGACTGCCAAAGACTTGAGCACCCACAGAAAGAGGAGACTGCACTTTGTTCTACAGACAGTGGAGAGCCATGTAGGACTTTTAAACAATTATTTAATTGATTTGCATTCACCCCTCTCAGTTACAGGGGCACAGGTCATTTTATCTGTGTAGTTTAAAAAGCATTATAATTTTGCACTCAGCAAGTGAACAAAATTCCAAGCCACCTATCTGTGCATCTCACAGTGAGTTAGAATTAAACTCTTACATGTTTGAAACTCTGCAGGAGATTTCCTATAGTACTCTGGTATAATTTGGTGTTGGAAGAGGAGTGGCCCCATTCAGACATCAGAGTAAAAGCTGCACAAGCAGGGGGCCCAGGAAATCCAACCTTCTAGGGGAGAGAAGCTGACTTGGTCACACTGATTGGAACCACTGGTCTCTGTGCTTCCTAGTCCTGCCTTCTAGACCCTAGGACTTGGCTCTGGATCCTTATACAAAGCCCTCTGTCCTCCCACCTGTTTTCTCCTGGGCACTAAATCTAAATTCTGTACATGAAAACACAACAGCAATGATTCAGCACAGTACTCTGTGTGTGTGTGTGTATGTGTGCATGTGCACATGCATTTATATATAAATGTACAAATATACACACATTGTGCAAAATAGTAATAGCATAATATCATTATCTTATTTTTATACCTGTCATTTTGTAGTGAAAGCCATATTTTTTTCGAAATCATGAGCATTTTGAGAGCAGGCCCACCATATTGCATTATGCATACAGCCAATGCTCAATTGGTGTTTGCTGAGTAATTGATTTAAGCTAAGGTTTTAGCCTCCTGCATGTGCTGCATTTCCTCCTAGGATCAGGAGAACAGCTGGTTAACATACTAAGTGTAAAAGGACAAAAAAGTATGGTTCCTATTTTCCTTCAGATCTATAAAAGGCAAGATAGTTTATTTCTTTAAAAGCTCCCAAGATAAGGTAACTGAAGCCATCATATGAAAGCAATCTATCAATATGTACATGTGTGCATGTGTGCGCACATGCATGAGTGTGAAATTGGCCATCCTGAAACTGAAAAATGGAGAAATCATGTGCTAAATATTAAATACAGGTGGTGCAAACAAATGCATACAGTTCACCAACTGCCGTGGTTTGACACTTACCTCAATGAAGAAGATGCTGGCTGCTGACGTTGGGTGGTGATACATATAGACTGTCACAAGGATGGCTGCGGCTATAATGAGGACCAGGATGAGAATCCCAACGATGAGGCCAGCGTGGAGGGTTCCCCCTTTCTTCTCGGCTGCACTGTCATCTGTAGACGCTGAAAGAACAGCCCAGCTGTCAGGACCTTCATGTGTGCACCCTTAAGTTTGCATTTTCTTCTGAGGAGGTATTTATGTTTGTAATAAAGTAACATTGGATTTTTACTTTCCATACAACTTTTCTTTTTCATAACACTAATTTTAGAGGCAAGGTGCTTTTAATATGGGCAATGAAAAAATCCTATGTATTAATGAGTAAAAATACACTTATAACTGCATTTTAATTTCTACTTCAATAAACAAAATTAACAACCTTTATTTTAAAAGTACTGTGAACAACCTCAAACTCAAATTAACTGTATAATAAATTGTAAGTTTGATTTTTCTCATTAAACCAACAAAGATACCTACAGTAAAACTGATTGCTTTTTGAAAGCTCTTCTCTCATTTTCTTTTTTGGAATTTTAAATTGAAGAATATCAGACATCTTTTGGTGAGCCACACAGGCATTTTCAGAAAGTCTGCGCATGAATTCAAAGCATAATTTTCAAAAAATCTGTTTTAAACAGAAATGTTCTTTAAAAGTGTAACAGATGGATGCTAAATGACCCTTAAATAGTTTTATCACCATCTAAAGGGAACACCACAACACATGAAAATATTCTACTATACCAGAGACCAATATCATTTCCTCTGACTTTTACTGAGATACTTTCTGCTATAATACACATTTTTAGAGTTAGGAAAGGGAGGAATTAAATTTCTAAAGTAATAGCTATTCAAACCAAAGTCAAGCAGCCGCATACAACTAACCTCTAAAGTCTTCTCTTATTCTAAAACTATGTAATGTTTGATGATTTCTCAGGCATTTCTCAATTATGTGCAGCAGGTAACTGTATCTTAGTGCATAATACAATTGGTGTTTTTGAATCATTAGATAATTCTTTAAGACTCATAGAAGTTCCAGAACAGTGGCTCCCAAATCTTTCATTACCAATTTACCTTTATTATTTTTACTCTTTGCCTCTATGTTTTAAACATTTCTTTCTATATTAAACCTCATTTAGTAAGCATTGATTTATTTCTTTTATTTAAAAATTTTCTTAATAAAAACCAAACATGGCTGCCTGTCAGAATGTGTGGTCCACACGAACTAACAAGTTACAGATGAAGTAGAGAAACATGACCTTCTAACACTTCCTATTCATCCTTTATATTTTTGTTGCTGTTGTTTACTCTTTGCTTGAGACCAATTGTTGGTGTTCAGTAATGTTTCTCCAAATCCAATAAAGCTCAAAATTTTAAAGTAATCTTTACATGGAAATTCATTAGTGGAAGAATATCAAATTTTAAGAGGCATTCATTACATAAAAATTCACTTATAATGCATCAGACATATTTGGGTTTTTTTCAGCTTACACATTAACTAGAGTTTAATATTTGCTTTTGGTTCTTTATAGGCAAAATTTGCATAGAGTGAAATGTACATACTGACATACTTGCATTGCTTTGCACGTATAATATCAACAACCCTAAGAGGTAGACATTATTATTCCCATTTTATAGATGAGGAAACGGAGGCATAGGGAAATTAAGAAATACGCAAAGGTTCAAAGCTATTAAGATAGAACTAGACTCAAATACAAGAAGTCTGGCCTCCGAGTCTGAACTGTGAATCTCTAACCCATGACTCCTTAATTAACACTGCTATTTCCTCTTATTTCATGTCATGAGTTCTGGCAAAGAATTCTGAAAAGAATTACCTGTTAATTTCAAGTAAGGAAAATTAATTTAAAAGGTAGTTAAAAAATTATCATTGTGTCCCCAAGAGGTCACTTCTTTGGAACTAGGTCTTAAGTCAGTGTTTGCTATCATAGACACTTCCATGCATGTTTGATGGAAGAGAAGGAGAAGAGAGGAAGAAAAATGAAGAAAAATAAAGGCTGTTGAAAACAGGTTGCAGTGATTGGAACAACCACATCCCCAATAAAAATCAAATGAGGCTACAGTAAATGACTTCATCCACCTGGGCTTTAGCTACCTTATATCCACAATGTGGTCAATAACAGTAATTACCCAATAGGGTTGCTGTGAGAATTCAACATTTTTTAGTACATATAAAGTTCGTAGGAGAGTACCTGACTTGTAATAAGCAATTAATGCTAAGCCATTATATTATCATATTTTATATGAGGCAGATTGAGGCAAATTATACTGTCAGATTCATGACACCATATAAACTATGTTGTCGCCCTTAACATTTGTTGCTTTTAAAAGTTTGGCCTCGTTCCTAAGTATGCTTGTATTATTGCATCTTGGGAACTTGGCTTTTCTCTTATTTTTACAAGAGTATGACACATTGCTTTCATGAGAAAATAGGATTAATTTAAAATGTGGCATTGGGGAAAATGTGGCAAAAATATCTACTTGAGTCAAAAGGGAAGCCTTGAATGTTTCTTCAAATCCCATGTGTCATTCTCCCTTGCTCTCTCCCTTCCTCTCCCCTTTCCTCCATCCCTCCTTCTTCCTCCCTCCTTCCCTCCATCCTTCTCTCTCTCCTTTCATTTTGTCCTCTCTTTCTCTATCCATCCATCCATCCATCCATCCATCCATCCATCCATCCATCCATCCATCCATCTATCCAGCCAGCCAGCCAGCCAGCATCTGATTTTATTTCTGGGGTTTATAGTCCTTTATATGCAACACAGCATGTTTAAGCCTCACTTCTGTGCTTGCAGGAAGGCATAAGGAAGGGGAAGGCACTTATGAGTTGACCCAGACTGCCACTTCCTAAGTGGGCCAGAGGACCAGAACAGAGGACCAGAAGGGACATGTTTTATTCAATAAGAGTCCTTGTCAGAACTACAATTATCTTTGACTTGCAGGAGTGAGTGGCCAATATTTGGAGTATAAAATCATAACCAGATTTGCACTTTGAGTGTGGCAAACCTCACCCCCTTTATTTAGGCATAAATATTTAGTCTCACAATTATTACTTACTCATCCTTCCAATAAGGATTGAATTATATTATCTCTCTTTTAAAATGTTCCTTTACATTTTGTTTTAGATGTGAATACACCATAGTCATATCTAATGCAATTTATATGAAGTCTAGTTTGTTACTAGCCAAATAATTATTTTATGATGATGATTTTAATAAAATAAATAATCTTTATAAATTCTCAATACTAACTAGTAGACCAAATAAATATTTAGAGATCTATGGGCATCATTATGACTTGATGTGTTGTAACCAGATCAAACCGTTTAAGGAAATATTTGGCAATTTCAATTCCAAAATATTACAAGGGTTTCCTTGTGTCACATACCAGTGACTATACAAAATGCTTCAGAATGATCATCAAAATAGCATAGTTTTGGAGAATGCATTTTTATACTTCCTTATTATTTAACCAGTTTTGTTTTGCTACTACAATGATTCTATAATTCCCCACACAGCACAAGCATCTCTCTTCCATGGGCTTTAGGTGACCATACACTAACAGGTATTGTGATGGCTTATTAAAGGCTGTTCAATCTGAAGGTGAAGTAAGCATTCCATTGATGTGCTTTGGTTTTAAATTCATTCACTATTTAGTTTCCAGGTTAATATCACTGCTCTATCAAATGCTATGGGTTTTGCATATTTATGGGGATCTGCAGGCAGAAATCAGAGGATCTTCTGTGTTAAAAATAATGAACACCTCAAATGCAACACTGAAATTTGAAAACTGTAAGCAAGTGCTTAGTAATTCCCATAATTGAAATTTAGTTCATTCAACTCAAGGGAAAACTGCTCAAATAAACTGATTTCACTCTTTCAGAAAAGACAATAAACTAAGTTGTCATCCAGTAGCTTGGTTGATTATTCTCTTAAATTGCAGATAGAAGTGGGACCAAAAACCCCTCTGGACCTGCTGTAGGTACATACTTCTTATTAAGTTAATCGGATTCCATTAGGAGTTAGGGAAATATATATAAAAAAAAATCAGAAGGAATCTAGTCTTCAGGCTTGAACTCTTACTATATTTGTATACATATCTTGTGCTCTTTCATTCATGTTCAAAAGAGAATGAATGACCAAACAAGTATCTCTCTCACACAGTATCACACACAGGAGAATGCAAATCTTTGGTCTTTTTTTCTTTTGGCCTTACATTGTGTATTAAAGTAAAAGGAATTCATGATAAAGGGCAATATGATGTCGTAAAATGGAATCTCCAAGCCAAAAAAGGAAGTATAGAAATGTATTTTAAGAGCCTCCAAAATGAAGACTTTTTTTGTACTCTGTTTAAGGCACATTGTAAAATATAAATGAAACACAGAAAATCAATAGTATCAAGGATAATGTACTTTCATCTGATCCATTGAGTGACCTGGGTAGTGTTTGTGGCTTTTAAAATACTTTATAAAATGCAGAGAGGACTGCAAGAATTGTCAGATCCATCAAAGCAGTCTGCTATTTTGGGGTGAGTTTTAGGTACCATAATAGCAAAGGCAACAACCTTTCAAAAGGCAGTAAGTACACATTAGAACAAATTCAAGGCCTCATGTAAATGTGTTCAATTTGTTGCACACCATAAAAAGTTTATGACTGAATATATTGACAGAAGGAAAGATGAAATAAATAAGGAGGAGGAAGAAGATAGGAGGAACAAAGGAAGAAAATTAAATATATTCTTTCTTCAAAGTGTTATTTAATTGTAAAACTCTGTGTCTCCTTGCTTTTTTATGACTGTTTCTCCCCCTCAGAATTTTCATGTATGTGGCATTGATATTCTGTATTTAGAAATATAATTCTCTAATATTGTCAAAAATTTTAAATATATTGCTAAAATTATCTGGACGTACTATTAAATCTTGCCAATAATTAGAGTCTTGGGATGAAGCAAAACTAAAATAGAAATATTTCTTGTCTGAAATTTTACTCACTTTAGAACTAACTCTTCTCCTGGCCTTAAAACGAAACACTACAGCCCATAAATTCCATAATGTATTAATATCCTTTGGGGGACAGAGAAGCTGATGGCTTGGACAAAGTCATGCACAAATTTGCTC